CTGGTCTGGTAACTTAAACTTAAACTATTGCTGTCTTTTTTTCTTCTTTTTTTTCTTTCTTTATCGCACCATTTTCTCTGTTGTATTTTTCCTTCTTTAGAGAATTTGGGACAACGTGGTGAGGGGGCTGAGGGGTTTAATGTGTACATGTACTGAATCTGAAAAAATAAAAATATTCAATCGCAGAGAGAGATTGACTAAGTGAATGAATTATTGAGGCCAATCACAGCATGCACTGGGCTACAGGTCATCAGTCAATCCCAGGTCAAACAGATTTTGGCAATTCAGAGCCCTGCATTACTAAAACTAATAGATATTTAGTTTCCTGTTGCTGATTGTCAGATTCAGTGTTTAATCTCTCAGAGGTTTGGGTTCAGGACACAAGTGTTGACTTGATGTTTTGACATTTAAGCAGTTCAGCACTCATTGATGTCAAACCAGAACTGTGTGAAAAGGATGTGACCAGAGGTGCATAATAGAGCCAGCAGTTCCCACTGTGCCTACCTATTTTAACTAGCAGTTGTTTTATGTTGTTGTTGGTGTGCAGTGAAAATTTCATGACTGACCATTGACCTGAGGGGAGGAAGTTAGGCAACATTGCCTTTTGTGTTGAACCCATGGCGGCTGCAGCAAGAACTGAAGAAGAAGAAAGAAGAAGGCCTGATCCATCTGCAGATAGTATTGCTTGCATACAGACTATGCAGTAGCAACCTGTGCTGAAGCCTACAAACCTAGTCTACTCTCCTGAGTGTATACAGTAAGAATTGCTGCATGCCAGTATAAAGCACTGGTTTGGTCTGGTATCCTGTTATCCCAGACATGCAAGAGTTTGACTGCTCATGTGCATGAAAGCTGCATCTCTCGGCAGAGGAACTGATGAAACGTAGACTGACACGACACACTCATCCTCGAGCCTGTCAGCACACACGCCCTGCAGACAGCTGGATTAACCCGCGTGTTGGGGACAGCCAAGGAACAAGTGCATTGTCAGAGCATGCTTGTTTGAAGGGGTGAAGCAGAGTTCACAGAGCAGTAATGTAAAATCACAGCCTCAGCTTGCTGCTCGTCTCTGCTCGCTGGACGGCCTGGCTCAGTATCTCACTGGTTTGTGATACAGAAATTCAATATGTTGATATCTGGACGGCTTTGTCTTTGAGAAAAAAGGATGAAGAGTCAAGGTTTCCACGCATCCTGGAAAAGCTGGAAATTTAGAGACTAGTTTTCCAGTCATGCAAACACTGGGGAATTGATACCTGGAAATGTTTGTATGTTAGCCCCCCACTCAGATCGCCTTCGTAAACTTAGGTGTGTATTTAGTTTGAAACTCGACTGTTGGTTGGATAAACTGGATGACACTTCAAACAGGTTTACCAGATGTAAAGTGGAACTGACTGAACTCATCTCTTCGGCATCAAGTTGTTGTTTTTTTTCAGAGCTGAACTGAAAAAAAGATTCAGTAACACTTTCCATGTCTATATTGCATTATAAACATGCTTATATTGCGTTATACTGTGCTTATGGCAATATATAGTTATAGTTGGAGCACTTATAAATATTCATAATACTTTATAACTGACATAACGCCTTATAAAGCATGGTCACTCACCTTCACACTCTTCTTATATTCTCATAGGTGTAATACATTATAACCATTTTATACGGCATTATAATCAGTTTTCCAACAGAGAAGCCAACAATGTTTAATCATTCAATCAGCATCAGTTAAATTGTGCTCTGTTTTATTACTTTTAGTAAGTTAAGTTGTCTAGTCTAAATTCGAATATTGATTTGTTTAGCTCGGAGCTATAGAATATTAAATCATCCATTTTGACTTAGACTTTCTTACCCTCAGGTATGTAAAAACTACAGGTTATGAATTTTAAACACAAAATTGTGAAATTCGATTATCTTATCAGTATCGGCCACGAGATGCAGGTAATTATTAGTTATCATGTCGATTAAAACAAAAATTCCATATCCTGCATCCCGATTATCACTGGTCAGCTACACATGCTTTCTTTTACAATATCACTGTTTCTCTAATAGCACCAGATACAGTGAATGATCACCATATCCACTGTTGCAGATGCAGAATTAGGCTGATCTGCTTTGTTGATATTGTTGCAGTAATTTATACATAACATTTTTTTATGCATTTATATCTTTCATTTCATCATTTTAACTACATTTTTGATTCTCTAACGTGTAGGTCTGCAACTAACGATTATTTTCATTATTGATTAATGTCAGGGCAAACCCAATCCTGGAGATGTAGTTGTTGTATCGCTTGTCTCTAGGGCTTCCAGGGCTTGGCTGCCGGTACGAATATTTATATGGATGTGCAAAAATGTGCTCGGCTGCCTGGCTACACACAGCCTACACACAAGGTGTGTGGGCTTACCTGTCTCATCGCTGCCCTGGCACATCCGATGCCCACCCCTCTGCCTGCTTGCTCTGCTTGGGCCAACACCGGTTACAGTTCGTGCTCCATTGACAGTTCAGAGTAGACCTTTAGCACGCGGACAATAACTCAAAACAAAACTTTCTGTGGAAAAGGGCAAAACTTGACAACCCTTCATACAGCCTTGGAACTCTCAAACATCTCTCGAAATTCTGTATAGAAAAGGGAAAACTTGATGATCTTCCAGGCGGTCGCTTAACTCACAAACATCTCTCAAAACTCCTCCTACACCTGTTCTCACTCCATCTCTTAATCTAGCACGCACCTTTCCAACTAGCATGGGCTTTGTGACTAGGTTAAGCCCACCCTCTAGCCTGACAGCCATCTATCCAGCCAATAGGGAAATAGTGTGCCCTGACAGTAATCTGTCGATCATTTTATTAGTTTATTAGTTTATTAGTTGTTTGGTCCATAAAATGTCAGAAAAACAGATAAGAAAGTTGAACCAAAGCCCAAGGTGATGTCCTCAAATGTCTTGTTTTGTCTACAACCTAAAGATATTCAGTTTGCTGAGAGGACTAAAGAAAGCAGAAATATTCACATTTGAGAAGCGGTGAATATAAGTATCTTGTTGGATATCTTCGTTAAACATTATAGTTGGCAGGCTCTGCTTACATGCATGAGCCTGACTGCAATGAGCTGTCATGTGCAGAGTTCTGAGATTTTGAATCTATTGGGACTGGCAAGATAGGTTTTTTAAAACTTGAAGATGCGATACTTTCAGTCCTATGGCGTCGATAACCGATAAGCACCACATACATTGTTGCGCGGCGAGTCAGATCAACATTGGGCTACACACGGTTTCCTTAAAACACACCTCCATTATGGCTTCCTCATTTCATCCCAAATTCTTCTCCTATCATGAATAATCACCGATCCCGCGCATTTTAATCTGTCCTCCAGGAAGGGCATTTGTAGAGTGCAGAAGTCACCGGGAACGAGGGGAAAAGAGGTCCGTGGAAGAGTGTGACAGCGGCATTAAAGCACTTCCGCAGATTTGTTTTTACCTAGTCTTGAACTTATTGAGGTCCCGAGTATGTCGATAGGAAAAGAACGGTTCCGAATTGGTTTCTAGCAACTGGAGATCCTGCAGTAATGGCAGAGCTCCAGTTAGTTGTTAACACTTCCTGGGGCATTATCCTCCAAGAGGTGGGCTTTTGCTCCTCTTAAAGGAGCACATCATGTAATTAAATGTTGTGATAACATGATCAGGGCCCTTACGTGACCAACAACCTGGCCTTTTACTCTACGTTGTGCAGAAACCGTAAAGACCCAGTACTGTGCCCATACCACGTGTGGTTTAAACGCCTAGTTAAGAAGACCAGATAGATCCGAGTGGATGGTCGGTTTTGGGAACGAAAAAATAAAGAAAAGTTTATGTCCTTATCCCTATTAATTGTATGAATGGTGCTGTATGATTCTCGGCTCCCAGGGTGTGACAACGAAAATTCCCTGTTTCGGCCGCGGAGTCGTTTGTGGGTTTTTAGTTATGTTTTATTGTTCATGTGTAACTTGGGAAAAAGATACTGTAAAATCATTTTCAAGTTCCAGAAACTACCAAAAATTAATGATGAGTTAGAGTTCTTTCGACAATGAGGGGGTATTTCTTGAAATTTTAGTCAGCAGAGTTTTTGCTGATCTAATACCAAAAAGTCGTTGACGGAATTAAGCGTGTTAGGTGCAAGTGGAGGGTTCATATCGAGCAGGGGGGTGCCGTGTGTGAATGATATATGTTATAAGAGGTTTTGTCCTGATATGATAAATAAATGCTACTCGAGAAGTCAATTATCAATTTAATGTCTCATCATAGTGTGTGTTAATTATTTGTTAATTATTATATTAGTTATTATATATTTTCGTCGAAATACCTAACCTGTAAAACCTCCCCTCGGAGGGTTGATACGTTGAGGTGGCGAATTATAGTCTTTGAGAACGTTGCTGCTCCAGTAAAACATGTCCACTGTGTTGAAGTCCTGTATCATCGATCTCTGTATATGTGGAAGTTGTTTTGTGGTAAAACCAAGTGAATTCATGACATAGATGTGATATATTTGATAGACATTTGAGAATAAGAACTTCCCACACTGTCGTTATAGATGTAAACCATATCTCAAAATACAACAGGTTCTACTCGTTATTTTAAATAATATAATACTCGAGCTTAGTATGGGTTGAGGTGTACTTGAAATCGCTTAACACAATCGGATAGACCTGCTCCATGGTGACTACTTAATGTAATGTTCTTGATCTACCAGGTGTCCACCACCCAACGTTTAAAATCCAGAGTTCGATCCTAGAAGCCCTTCAAGTAACCATTGTTATTTCCAAGTACATACGTAGGCAACGGTGGCTTTTCCAGCCAGAATGTTCGAGCGCCCGCGGAAGTCAGAATCACATTGGCTACACACTCCTTTGCCCATTAAAACACCACCCTCCCCAATTGCATAGGCTTGCCTCCGCATCATTCCCACCCCCACGATTTCCATGCCTCCTACTCCCAATGGGAAAATAATCCCCCGATCGCCGCGCACGTTTGAATGCTGTCCTCCCCAGGCAAGGGCATTTGTTGGCAGTTTTGCAAGTCAGCCGGTGAACGAGGGGAAGAGTCGGCTTGGAGCGAGAAGTTGTGACAGGCGGCCATTAAAAAGGGGAAACCTTTCCGCCAGAATTTTTACCCTTCCTAGTCCCTTGGATCACTGTAGACAGGTCCCGCGATGTACTGCTCGGATAGGAAAAAGAACGTGCCAGAAATTGGTTCTTAGCCAAACTGGGAGAGTCCCTGCAGCCTAATGGGCCAGAGGCTCCCCAGTCTAGTTACTTATACACTTTCCTTTGGGCGGCCCATATATCCCTCAAGAGTGCCTTTTGCCTCCTTCTCTTAACAGACACATCAATTGGTATTAAAAATGTCCTGTGGTAACATGAATCCAGGGGCCCCGCTTAACGTGCACAACAAAACATGCCTCTTTTCAACGTCATACGTTGCGTGCAGAAACTCCGTAACGAAACAACAAGTGAACTGTCGGGCCTAGCCTGTTTATTTCGCCACCCGCTCGCGTTCACCGAAGAAGCCAGATAATCGATCGATGTCGTCGCCTTTGGCGACGAAAAAAAGTTCTTATTTGCCCCCCCCTCAAAAATGTCCACGTAAGCTAGCGCCTGTATGCTGCATTGTGGTACACGGAGTGTTGACGGAAATTCCCTTGGTTCCCGCGCGAGTCGTTCTTTTTCTGGCCCCTTTTTTAAGGTTCATGCTTTCTGATGTGTTCATGTTGGTTAACTTGTGGGAAAGAATACTGTATCAATTCCAAGGTCCCAGCAAGCTAACCCAAAATTTGACTGAGTTAACGAGTTTCCTTTTCCGACCATTGAGCAGGGGGGTATCGTCTTGAATCTTTTTCGCCAAGTCGAAGTTTTTTCTGATTATTTAAATACCAACCGTCACCTTGCACGCCAGCTATTCACCTGGTTTGGGGGTGCTTCAGGTCTCATATCCGAGAGCGGGGCGAGCTGGCCCGTGCTGG